ATGTCGAGAAATCTAAACTCAAATTACCAAGGCTAGTTTTCATTGGTACAAAAAATTTAAGTACAGATGAAATTAAGGAACAACTACAAACTTTTGATTACATCGATAATAATGATTCATTGGATGTTAAATATTTCAGACAATCAAAATTCTCAGGCAAATTCATTATTTATGTAGAAACTATTGGCAAAACATTTCATAAATTGGTAAACAAAAACATAATTCTTGGATGGCATAAATTCAAAATAAAAGAGGATTACAATATTATTTCTTGCACAAAATGTAATGCTTATGGTCATTTTTCAAAAAATTGCAGAAACTCTGTAACTTGTTCAGTTTGTGCTGGTGATCACTTTAGTAATCAATGCAAAAATCAAAATAAACCATGTTGTATCAATTGCAAAATTGCTATTCAAAAATTCAAAGGGACTGGTAATCATGATCATACTTCAAATAGTATTGATTGTCCTATTTTGAAAAATAAAATTACTTTAGCAAAAAATAGTATAAATTATGAATAGTACGAATACATCAACCCTCACAACATTCAATAATTTCAATATCCTTTATCTGAATATAAGAAGTTTAATAAACAAAATTGATGAAATAGAAGTTGTAATAAAAAAATATAAACCACATATACTAATTCTAACAGAAACTTGGCTGAAATCAGATCAAACTAATTATTATCACATTCCTAACTTTTCAAGTATACATAATTGTCGAGATGATAGACAAGGAGGTGGAGTTGCAATTTATCTACGAAATGGTTTAAAATTTCAGAGAATTGATAAAAATTTAAACAAAGAGTACAATACAATAGAGATAGAAATTTCTCAATTTAAATATAAATTGCGGATTATTGCTCTGTATAGGCCACCTAGTTCAAACTTGGCTGAATTTTTGCAATACTTGGATGAAATCATGGAAACAAACAAAAAAACCATTATAGTAGGAGACATGAATATAAATTTATTATCAGACAATGCTGATATTTTGAATTATAAAAGCATAATAGGAAGCAATGATTTCCGTATTGTAAATGAATTGAATCCAACTGATTATACTAGAAATCAAAATAATTCCTTTAGTATTCTAGATCATATACTGACTAACTGTCATAATTTGAATTTGAAAATTTCATTGGAAAATACTTCCATAACTGATCACAGAATAATGTTCACGTCAATTAACAAACTCAACCTCAACTTGGAGAAATTTAGAAAACGTGAAATAGTAAAAATTGATTACTCAAAATTCAAACAGATCGTCTCTGATCAATTAATTCAAAGTGAATATGAAGAATTTGGAGATTTAATAAATATCATTTTGGAAGCAAAAAATCAATCATCATCGAAAATGTACCTCAGAACACGAGAAAACAATGGGTGGATAAATAATAATATTATCAAGGAAATGAAAATAAGAAATATAAAATTCGAAAAACATAAACAAAATAATGATAATCCAGAATTCTTCAATGAATATAAAATACAAAGAAATAAAGTAAATGCTTTGATCAAACGAGCAAAGGCCCAATATATCAATAAAAAGTTTGAAGACTCTGAAGGCAAACCGAAGAAAATGTGGGATACAATAAATTATTGTCTTAGAGATGGATCAAGAACTAACAAGAAAAATCACATTGAATCAATAAAGGTTGATGATACAATTGTTAATAATGATTTGGAGATAGCTGAAATTATGAATAATCACTTTTCAAGTATTGGTGAAAAAATAGCAAAAGAAATAATCACATACTATAATAACATTCAACGTAAAAATATTAGTCCTGATTATAACAACTCCACAATGATTTTGTTTCCCACTGATGAAATGGAAGTTATTGAAATAATTCAGTCTTTAAAGAAAACATGCTCAGATCCCGAAGGTTTAATAACTAAAGATATATTCGAACTAAAAAATATTTTGGCCAATCCATTATCAAAATTAATCAATAAATGTTTTACCAGTGGTATATTTCCACAAGAATTAAAGCATGCTTCATTAAGACCAATTTACAAAAGTGGAGATACTCAAGATCCAGAAAATTATAGACCAATCGCCTTATTGAGCATTTTTTCCAAAATTGTTGAGAAGATTCTTAAAAAACGCATTGTAGATTTCATAAATAGAAAATATAGCTTTGACATAAATCAATTTGGTTTCCAAGAAAATAGTGGCACACAAGCGGCAATATTACAAGTAATACAAGCAATACAAAAAGGACTTGATACCGGAAATTATGTGATAGCAATTTTTGTTGATCTCAAGAAAGCTTTCGATACAGTAGACCACATAACACTTTTGGAAAATTTAGAATCAATGGGACTCAGAGGCATGATAAGGAACCTTTTAGATTCGTATCTTCAAAATAGGACAATCAGTACCAAATCTACCAACTCAGAGTCTCATAAACTACCGATGACTAAAGGTGTCCCTCAAGGATCTGTTTTAGGACCAATTTTATATTTATTATATATTCAAAATATCACGAAAATTGATACAGAATGTAATTACACTATTTATGCAGACGATACGGTACTTTTATATGAAAATAAAAATCCTATCATTTTAGAAAATATAATAAACAGAGACTTGATGAAATTTGAAAATTGGCTGCATTCAAACCTCTTATCAATAAATACTGATAAAACTGAATATATGATTTTTCAACAAAAAAATAAACAAAATATAAATTTAAATCTCAGAATTAAAAATGAATCTTTGAAACAAACTAATGAGAAAAAGTATCTTGGGATTTGGTTTGATGATAAATTGAAGTGGGACAAACATATAAATGTTTTGAAGAAAAAAATATCTCCTATTATTGGAGCCCTGAGAAGATGTCCCAAGCTGAATAAAAAAGTTGCAAATATAATTCTATATTCTCATATACTCAGTCGTATTAACTATTTGATAAATGTTTGGGGATACTGTTCAAAAAACAATTTTAATAAAATATCTGCATTATATAAAAAGACATTGAAAGTACTGTATCGTTTACCATATGATACACCAACAAATCAATTATATAAAATAACTGAATCATTCTCATTAGAAGAAATGTTCAAAATCGAAAGACTGAAAATTACATACAATATCATAAATAAAAGATTGAAATCTAATTTTATTTTAACACGAAACAATGAAATTCATAATTATCAAACTAGACAACATGGTTTATTTCATCTTGATATCGCTAATACTTCTATAGGCCAAAAAAGATTCACCCACGCTGCTCTCTTGGAATATAACAAATTACCAGATAATATAAAAAATTGCAGAAATACAATAAAATTCAAATACCATCTTAAAAAATTTATCATTTCTGAACGAAATAGATGACTTACTTTTGATTCATATTGAAATTGATTTTTGCTCAGCAATATGAAATGATTTGTCAAAATTTAATAATTAATGTTTTCAAATATTTTATTGTTCATCAGTTTATTATAATTGTATAGTTTTAGGTATTATTGTTAACTATACTTCCTTATACCAGAACTTGATTCTGACTGGAAGTAACATTTTCAATAAATAAAATAAAAATAAATAAATAAAAAATATGATATCACAAACCTTCTCAACTATCAGTTCACAGTGTTCACACATCACACCAAAACAAATTCGGTCCTTTTTGTAAAACAAAACACGCCAAATAAATAGATATTTTACATAACCAAAGACAATGTACTTATGTCTTCACTTCCTTGCCTGTTTAGATGGGAGAAAAAAATCTAAAGATTCTAAAGTACTTTAATTATTAGATAAAAGAAAACGTCAACACCAATCCACCATTAAACAACACGAGTAGGAAAGAGACAGGTTACCGTAAAACAAGCTATCTTTGTTGCAGCTGCCCCTGACACACTTTGTGCTATTCGAGAGAACGGCCGTCTCCCTTCCAGGTGTCTATATTGAGTTCATTGTGCTCGCGTCTGATTTTCAGCGTTGCCACAGCTCGCTCGATTGAGCGAGATCTCGCTCGTTTTGTCACTAGTTCATTCTCTCGCTCCTCTTTGTCAAATCTCGCTCGTTTACACCTCAGCTAGTAGGCCACACAGATTAGACGTAATGTAAAATAACGGAGTTAATGTTTTTCAAAGTTCAGCTATATTAGCGTAGATGGTCTCAACACGAGCGATACAATTAATGTTTCAACAAACAATGATGGAAATTGGTAGATGGTGCGCGTACTCGGCCATTTTTACGTATTGAAAACTTAAGAAAAATCACTCAAACGCTTACATCATTTCTCTACGTCACATCGATCGAGACGTTAAATCTATACTTTTTTTCGCTAGATGGTGATGCTGTTATTGCTGCTGTGACGAGTGTCTCTGGTGAAGATAAAATGGCAAATAGCATTTTGAGTAAGCGAAATATATGTAGAAGAATGGGTTTATTGTACTCGAAATTCAAAAAAATCAGAGGCAACTCCAAAATTGACAAATGTCATAATTGTTCAAGGGCGCCATCTATTGAAAGATCACCGAGAAGAATTTTTGAAACAAAAGCGCATCAGTTACTTATTTCCATCATTCTTGAAACGACCGGATAACTTTGGAAACTAAGGTCCCTTCAAAGATCATAATTAGGATGCCTAGGGTCGGTTGCATGATTCTCTTTGTGAACTCAACAAGAAATCAAATTTCATAACTATTCAATCAGATGAGACATATTGCTTTGTCAAACATCCAAAGTAATATAAGAAATAAATTCAAATATTCATTTTGTTATTTATTTATGTACCTACATAGTAATCTTTTGTGAGTTAATGTAAGGTAATCCCGGGTAATCCATTCATTTATTTCATCAACAACAAAATCTCGCTCTTTGAGTCAAGATCTCGCGCGTTTTTGACAGTATAGTTCGCTCGAAAAAACATATGTTTGTGGCAATACACTCTGATAGCTAAAAGTGGGGGAAGTTACAAAGCGTGTTTGTCGTGAATTTTAAGACAGCGCCAGAAGGTTAAAAAGCAATCCCCAACTCACAATCCTTCCCGATACCCGTCGAGCAGCGCCTGTATCAAACTCTTATTTTGCGGTATCGTCTGCAGTATCTCCCCGTCGGGTGTCACGTAGCCTATCGCCCATTGGCCCAGCCTGGTGCACGACAGCCTGAACACGTAGCTGCCGGCCTTGTTGATGTACCGCTGCAGCCTGGCCTTCACCTCGTCGTAGGTGAGGAAGGCCACGTAGCCTGGATGGGTGACTGCGAGGATCTGCCAGTTGCGCAGCAGGGTCGCCCAAGGCTGGAACAGCCTGGAAAATATGAAGATTCGTTTGGATTTTGCCACTTCGGGACCTTTCATGTGCATGGTTATTACTATAGCGTCTGAACATAGCGCCGCAACTAAATCCCGCGAGGCTCATCTCGCACTCATCTTCAGTGATCATGTCGCACATGGACGGTGTCAGCTCCCTTGTTTACTGCTGCAATAAGAGCGCTCATATCGTCCAACCGCGACATGTTTGCTGGAGACGAGTGTACAGGATGCGCCTCTTGAAATTGAACCCCCTCTCAACTTATTTGTTTTGGGAAATATGAAAAAATGTCAAATCAATTGTTTGAAGCGACCCAAACTTTTATTTTGTGTAGTTGTTTTATGTACAGAGACATTCGTTTTTCCGGAAAGGACATCAACTCTGGTTTTTTAAATGGAACACCCAATATATTCTTTGACATACCGATAGAGCCTGTTTTTCTGATTCCGAAAATATATACAGTGTGTCCATTTAGTGCGTAATTCTTCGATATCTCGAAATCATTTATCACAAGAGAAAAACTTTGGGAAAACAACTTTTTCAGTTACTAAAGTTGCTCATTTTGAAAATATTTCCAACGATACTGGGTGTTTCATAAAAGCAGGGCAACGTGAAGACGAGTTTTTTCAAATGGAACACCCAGTATTGTTCATTCGAAATTTATTCCGCTCAAGTTCAGCTCTACATCGCTGTGAAAAAAATTTAATTTGGTTGCGGCGTTGCCAAGTTATAATTGATAAACCCATTTTCACTACTATTGAAGGGTCATGTTCAATTGGGTATGGTATATTTATTTATTGAAATTTCGAAAATATTTTTGGCATACAGTAGTAGCAAGGTCTCACGTATACCAATCCAGTAATCTTGCGAGATAATTCTCTACAGAGTGCTAAAATTTACATTCTGAATATTGTAAGATTCAGACGACGATAGTAAGAAATTTTCAAATGGAACACCCTGTATTTTTCATCACGGATTTATCTCGACATCATTCGCCTTTTCATCGCAGAGGAAAAAATCGAAATCGGTTGCGGCGTTTTCAAGTTATGAGTAATTTCCTTATTTTTACTACTATTTCGGGGTAATTTGTTCGTCCTGATGGTTCCTTAATTTGATTTGAGTGTGAGAATATTGCTTGCCACATGACATTCGAGGTTCTACATAGATCATTCAGGTATTTTTGTGATAATTATGTGCATCGTCCAAATTTGAAATATTGCTACTTATGATTTAAATAATATGTGAAACAAACAAACATGCCAAAAGCAACGCCTGTCTTTGAGATAACTTCTACAATACAAACAATGAAGAGGCGTATTGCGAAAATTAGGAAGATTTTTTGAAATTTGGGCCATTTTTATTGTCGTTATTCCCACAATCCAAATCTCTATTTACCTTGAAGAAGGTAAACATAATGATACAAACAATATGTCTCTACTACGTAGCTTTTGGGAGAAAATTCAGCAGAATGTCGAATCAATCCAAGATATATTTGATTGTAGCGATGTTTGACAGGTCATTACACAAATATTTCGAACAAAATTCAAACTTGGAGAGCCTGTAAATGTTCCTTTTGTGAAAAAATATATGAATGGTCAATGAACAAATTTGATTATACCGAAGCAACGCAATATTTCCACGATACAAATAAATGAAAGAACTATGACGTACAAATTACCCTGAAATAGTAGTGAAAATAAGGAAATCAACAATAACTTGACAACGCCGCAACCGATTCCGATTTGTTTTCCAGCGATAAAAAGGCGAAAGATGTCGAAATAAATTTTTGAATAAAAATACAGGGTGTTGCATTTGAAGAATTCTGATGAATGTCATCTGAATCTTGCAAAATTCTAAATACAAAATTGAGCACCCTATTGAAGAACATGTCGCAAAATTACTGGATTGGTAAACGTTGGACCTTGCTCCTACCGTATGCCAAAAATATTTTCAAAATCTGAATAAATGAATATACCATGCCCAATTCAACATGACTCTTCAATAATGGTAGAAATAGATTTATCAATTATAACTTGGCAACGCCGCAACCGATTCCAATTTTTTTCACAGCGATGTAAAGGTGAACCTTGACGGAATCAATTCCGAATGAACAATACTGGGTGTTCCATTTAAAAAAACTCTTCTTCGAGTTGCCCTGCTTTTATAAAACACCCAGTAATGTTGAAAATAATTTTGAAATGAGCAACTTTAGTAACTGAAAAAGTTTTTTCTCCAAAATTTTTCTCTATAGGTTATGGCTTTCGAGATATCGAAGAACTACGCACTAAATGGACACACTGTATAAATTGTATATTTGGATGGAAAATTGTTGAGTTATTAATCATCACACTTCACCAAAATACCGCATCAATCCCGATAGATTAAAAAAATTAATGGAATGGTTGAATGGAAGATGAGGTATTTTAGTAAACTTTTATCATTCATAACTCAACAAATTTTCATCCGAATATACAACTTAATTATATTTTTGATATCAGAAAAGGAGGCTTTATCGAAATATTAAAAAATATTCAAGGTGTTCTATTTAAAAAATTAGATTTGATGTAGATTCTGGAAAAAGTAATTACCCTGTATAAATAACAACTTCAGGAAATGAAAGCTTAGGTGGTTTCAAACAACTTTTTCATTGAACATTTTTCCAAACCCAGGAGCATTACTCAAGGGAAGATGGGATGGCTACTTACAAGCCGAAGAAATAGAAAAAAATTGCTGTTATCTGTAAAAGTACAGTGTACAGTGCACGTAATGCTAATTTTCAACTCGTAACTAGAATTGAAAAAAAAATGCTTTTATAGTGACAATAGTTACATAAAATTCCAGTTTCACAGAACCATAATGATTGAAATATATTGCTAGTGGTGAATAAAATGCAATATACACCATACAGCTTGGCAGTGAAGAAAACCTCGGGATATTGTTCTATCCGTCATTCGGTTGCCCCCTTACGAGCAACCCTCAGAAGTCTTCGAGAGTCTTGTGCGAGCAAGGAATGACGAGGGCCTTACCTTTTAACGTGTGATCCCAAACACTTTCTTGGGCCAACAGAAAAATTTCTGCAGTCGACGGGACTCGAACCCACGACCGGCAAGCGAATGCGGATTAGAATATAGACACTCTGTCCGCACGGCTACCTGGCCCCTATAATCTTGGTATCTGGGTAATAATGATATTCTCTTGAATATTCTTTACTACCTAGGTGTAAACATAACTATACAATGTTATCAAACTTGTACTGGCATTATTAAGTTAAACATTTTTTTCCTTCGGAAATATAGGGAGTAATTGAGATAATTTTCTGAAAAAATGTCAAGGGGTCAGGATAGTTTCAATCCTTACACAATTTCATTGGGGTTCCTTTGATTACTGAAAGAGAGTGATCCTCTAAAATGCACTTTTGTCAAATTTCATTAAATTTGTTTCACTCATTGTCAGAACAGCGAACAAAAATGTATTTTTTTATGTACACCTTGAACTCTTCTCACGGACAAACGGTATATATATAAATAAATTGGTCATTGTGATATCAGATACGGAAATAAAATTGATAACAGGAAAATCAACTCACTGATTTATTGAACACAGTGAAACAAGAGCAATTTTGTGTTATAGACGTAGAAAAAATATCATATCCTGGTATGCATTATTTTGATATGGTTTTCCACTGAACCAAAATTATGCACTGTATCCTTGATTAACGACATGTATTATTCATTTATCGTAATGGGCTATGGAAAAGACGAATCTAAAAATAATGTATATTACCAGGATGTAGTAGTGCTTTGAGAGTACTTAAATTTAGGCCCGCTGTGGAATGACGATATAATGATAGAAATAAGCAGATGGTGTACTAACTGATGCGATTTTATTTCAGAAATTTTGGTTTGGTTTTGGCGATCTTTAAGAAGATGGCGACATTGCACAATAATTATGACTGTCAATTTTGAAATTACCGCAGATTTTCCAAAATTCGAGTGGAATAAAGCCATTTTTACATATTATGTTCAACGTACCTAGAATGCCATTTGCCATTTTATTTTCACTCGTCACAGCAGCAACAAAGTAGCAATAGCAGCATCACCATCTAGCGGAAAAAAGTAGATGTAACGTCTCGCTCGAAGTGACGTCGAGAAATCATAGTAAGCGGTCGAGTGATTTTTCCCAAGTTTTCAATACGTTAAAATCGCCGAGTACGCGCACCATCTACTTATTTTCATCATTGATGATATGAAACACGATGTATGTGAAATTTTAATCGATCAAACAATTTTTTTTTATGTTCTGGTTTCCACAAAAAGGGATATCCTGTATCCTGTAATGTTCAGAGAACATCGCGAGAACCGAGAACCAAGGGAAATAAGGAAGGAATTGGCGTTCTTCTTAAATTTCTGGAGGTTATATGCCTCGGGGAACACCTTCGTTGGCAATGTGTTCCAGAGCCTCGCTGTTCGTTGGATGAACGAGTCTTTGGAAAGAGATGTTCTGCAGGTCTCCAAAGTCTCAACTCGACGAGATAATCTCGCGGGGACTGCCAAGGAAGGAACAATTGTTAATATTTCAGAAGAGCATCGTCCATGGAAATATCTATAAAATAGAGCCAGATCACCAACTTTTCTACGGCGTTCCAGAGAAGTGAGTGAGTTTGTGAGCGAGGCATCACCCACGAGACGAATTGCCCTTTTTTGGACAAAATCCAACAGTTTCAGGGTATGTTTGGGTGCTGCACTCCAAATATGGAAACAGTATTCCAGGACAGGTCGAATCTGTGCCTTATAGATCATAAGCAGCTGACTGGAAGTGAAATAGCTCCTGGCCCGAAACAGAAAACCAAGTTTTTGGGATGCACTTTTAGCAATTGATCTCACGTGATTTTCCCAAGCAAGGTTATTACTGATAGTAATACCAAGCATCGAAATGGATGTCTTTCAAAGGTATGGTTACTCCTGACAAGCTGATGTTGGGCACAGTGAGATCGGCTT